CTCCTCCTCCTCCTCCTCCTCCTTCTTCTTCTGTAGGCTCCTCTTAGCTGATTTTATCCTCAGGGCAGCTTTGAGAGATGTGATTTGCCCACAAAAGAAAGCTGAGAGGAAGAATATTGATTCATTTGAAATGTAGTATTGAAAGAGAGTTTTACAGATACCAGAGACCACCCAAAATACCAATAAGTGGATTCTAGATCAAATCCAAGCCCAGTGCTCTTCTAACTACCTCCTGCGTGAAAATTTCTCATTCTACTATGATTCTTACCTGCAAAAAAGATTTTTCTTTGGTCTGTGTTCTCCAAAAAAGTGTCCAATTTCTTCTGAGCCTTCATTTCTGTCTCCATCTCCCTAGCCTCCAGAGATCCACACCTGTACTCGTGCCCAATATACAAGAAGCCAGTTCGGACTGATCTGAATTATATTGCTGCAGTGGACCTCCGGACTGCCCAGCCTCCTGAGCACTGGATCTTGCGTGGTGTTGCCCTCCTGTGTGATGTCAAGTAATGTTCAGAGAAAAACCAGCATGATTTTGTTGTTTAATCAGTGCATTCTTTTGGTTCTTATTCTTCACTTGAGAATTCTTGTCACAAGGAACTAGCTAGGTGATGGTTACAGGTTGTAAAAAAGTCTACAGCTTCTCTTTTGCTCTGCCCTTACTTTCTCTCATAGTTTAATGGGGTAACGTTACAGACAAGCTGGATTTGGGATCCCAAAAACCCAATTACTACTTTGATCGCTAGAGGATTTCTGTCACTTGATGTTTTCATAATACCAAGTTAAGTGACTCTGGAAAGACAGGAAGAAGGTATTTGTCACTTTGATCTCTTAACTTGACAAATACTTGGCGATTTCTATAGAACAAACAAACAAAAACAAACAAAAGGAGTGCCACCATCCACATACAGTGTACGTTTCTCTCCAGAGTAGTTTAAGCAAATTGGCAGCTGGCTTGGGGTAATTCTTCAGTGGACAGCGGCTTTTGCCGCCTTCTTGGCAGATGTGAAATTCCCTGGCTCTGCTCCAGAGAAGCTGTCTCCATGTTCTGAAGTCCTTTTGAAAGCTATGGGAATAGTGAAGGACCAAGGCTATTTCTTGGATCATGCCTTCACTGTTTGATTTAATTTCAGTGAATGGAGTTCATGAGCAAAGTTCTAGAATTGAAGGCTTTCACGGCCAGAGTTCATTAGTTGCTGTAGATTTTCCGGGTTGTCTGGCCGTGGTCTTGGCATTGTAGGCCCTGACGTTTCACCAGCAGCTGTGACTGGCATCCTCAGAGGTATCACACAGAAAGATGGAGGACTCTCTTCCATCTTTCTGTGTTATACCTCTGAGGATGCCAGTCACAGCTGCTAGCGAAACGTCAGGGCCTACAATGCCAAGACCACGGCCAGACAGCCTGGAAAATCCACAACTAAAGAGTGTTGGGCTGGAATTATTCAAGGTACCAAATCTGCGAGTAGACTCCACCATCCCTTTTGGTGCTGGTTTACTTTTCATCTCCACATGTCCATTGTTCCTCTCTTTCATTTTGATTTTCAAACCTTGCTGCCTTTCTGTTGAGTATAGGTATTGTTTCATGTTAAGAGTTGGCTGAAGAGAAATGTAGATCATGCAAGCCAATTGTGCTGTGTTACACTGTACGTCAGGTCCAATCTTTCAGGAGTAAGCTAGGGATGGAGACCTGGAATTTGTTAAAGCAATCCAGACCCCAGGTATATTTTAACACTGTTCATTTACATTAATATCTTTTTAAAAATCCTGAATTCAAACAAATGTTTTCAGTTCATGAGCTAGTTTTTGTTCTTAGGTAATTATGTACAAGTTATACTGAACTGCATTTTTTTTTTGCTACCTGATTTAAGGGTAATAATTTATGTTAATAAACTACCATTAAAGTCTGTCTCAGAGTGATTGATTGTAGTTGGCATGTTGGTGGAGACCAGTGCTGTCGAATGCCATAAACAAAGCACTTGTGAATGACATTTCAAGAACCAAACACACACTAACATCTCACCTTTCAAATATTTTAACACACATGCAAAGAGTGTTAGTGGGTTAAGTGTAATCACATGATACTCAGTCATACAGATCATGTTGACAAACCTGCTGAAATTATGCGATTTTTTTCAGTGCTGCTTTGTGAGTTGGGGCCCCGGAATGTTTGCCAGAGTTTCTGCTGCCCTCGCACCTATTAGAAACACAAAGAATGGACTGGCAGGCTCTGTCTTCGGTGGACCATGCCTACGTTGCTGACATTTGCTGGCGATGGAGCCGCCTCAGGCGAAGCAGGCAGCTTGTTGTGCTCAGAACCTGTCTCTGCTCTGCCTGTGACCATGGCAGGGTGCTTCGTAGATGGTCTCTGAATAAATTTTCAAAATAAAGACATGCCTGTGTCAGGCCTGTGTGGCGTGTGACCCACCACCCAGGTCTAGGCAGCCACTGGTGTGGAGGCCCCCCGGGGTCTTGAGAAGCTTCAGTTTTGGCATGTAGTTGGTGCTGCGGAGGAGAGCTCTTATCCAGGCACCTTATAGGGTCCCATCCGTGGCCGGAGGTGCGATATGCTGGTCAGTCAGTCCACACATTATGTACGTATGTCACTCGTGGCTATTTTTACATTTGTTTCATACCACATGCTCTTTCTCTTCAGTCGCAAGCCCCATACTGTAAAAGCTTGAACACTATCATGAAAGACAGGCTATGTTGGAAGCTTTTTTAAAACTCTCCTTCTGTCCATCCGGACAGACGGGGGAAAGGAGAGAGGAGCCACATTATATGTATAGTGAGACATTTCCCCTTTCCTCCCCCCCCCCCCCCCGTAAAGCACACAATTTGATTCAATCCCCCTGCATGGAGTTTTGTTTTAAAGCAGGCACTTAAAACAAAAGCCCTGACAACTTGACTGTTTATCCTGATGGTTCTCCTTAGATGGATGAGAAAAAGAGAATATAATAAAGAGAACATAAAGATCAATGGTGGTTGTGAAAATGAATCCACTTTTCTTTTCAGCAACTTTTCTGTAGAGCCAACCTTGCTTTCCTCCCCATCGCTCGCACCCCTCCTCCCCCTCCTTCTCCTTCCGATTTCCACCCTCCTCATCCCTTTCCTCATCATTAGGCTCACCCTCTCATGCATTTAGATTCACTTGGCTGTTCTGTCCTTTGGTTTGTGATTCATTATGTTCACAGGTTATTTCATTCCTTTAACTCTCTTCCAGAGTTTGAGAACAATCCAGAACAACATTTTAAAATGTATCCATTGAAAAGTGCAAGAGTTAATTTCTCAAGTGATCAGGATCTTTGTAGCCTCCCGCTGCCCATAGGTTTAAAAAAAAGCAAAAATCACATAGGGCAATTACTTTTTTACTTATTCAAAATTAGGTCAACAAATACTTTAAACCTCCTATGTTCCTAGAAAGTATTTTGCTAATCAAGTATTGTGGTCAAACGTACCCAATTTGTCACTTCTTTTTTAAAATTTATTTTAATCCTCTGAGAGAAATTTGGCTTAAACCAATTTAATTATTTTTAAAGCAATTTGATACATTTATGTTATATGTCTAGAATTAGGTAGGGATGTCGTCTGTAGTGACCCTTAATTTTAATTGAAACGAAGTCTAGTTAACTCCCTGATAGTGATACTATGGTACTCAAGCACGTTGGGGGTGTAACTTAAACAATGTTTCCTGTGCAGTTATTCATTTAAGACCACTTGTTCTAGTAGGTTTAGGCTGGAGTAACTCTACATAGGATTGTGGTGTGAATCTCCTGCAGGCACAACTTTAAAAAACAGAGAAGTTAATACCATTTCTTACATCAGCATTAACAGTGTCATCCTAAGCAGAGCTACATCCTTCTAAGTCCATTGAAGTCCAAGATGGTACTGTAACTATTGTGTTCAATAGAACAAAGTTGGAGACTGAGTCCAGTGGCAAAGTTTAATTCTGGGTATACGCTTTCGTGTGCATGCACAGGAAAGCTGATACCCAGAATTAAACTTCTGTTGGTCTTAAAAAACAACCTGACTATGAACAGGTTTGAAACACCACAGAACAATTGACGCTCTTATTGTAGGAGGGTAACTGTGCAGTGCTATGCAGAGTTCAGTCAAAGCTCATGATCTCATGGAACTCAAAGAACTAAGCATAGGATTGCACTATAAATGGAGGGCTCCAGGGTAGAGGAGAAGCTGTACATATTGTTTAATATTCTTTTTGAATCATTTATGATTGCAAAGTACAGAAGGATTAAAATGCTGCAAATGTGAGCACTGAAGTTGCATAGGAGTCTTTCACAGACGTCCAAGGTGAAACTTGGATGATTGTTATATGGCGGATGTTGATAGTCTGCTATGAATGAAGATAATTCTCCATTCAGATGTTTGAACAGGGTCTTTGTCAACTAGATTATAAACTATTTGGCCTTGCTTTGTTTGCAGGCCAATTACAGCATCTTCTCCTCACATTAAAAACAAAGTTGTTGTTGGTTTTTTTAAAGCAGGAGCTTCTAATAGGTGAAAGAAAAATCTCATCCATTGTCGATTTTTACAGGATTTTCACTGTCAAAGGCTAGCATTATGCAGAAATATTGGGAATTTTTTTACAATTACCAGCTGGTCTCTCAAGAATATCCGCAAAGAACATAAAGGTGCTGTTGGGTTGTGGGTTCCTTGTGGCGGGGTGTGTGTGATATATCTCAAATAACTGTTCCTATGTCCAAAAACAGGGAGATGAGTTTAATGACTATTCATCGCTTCTTCGAAATCCGGCAAAGGAGGGGGCAGAGGAGGGAGAGGCTTCTCAGCATTTCTTCACTTTTTTAACTCTTTCCTGTGTCCGCCCTTGGATTCCGTGGCATTAGCTGTAGAATCATGGTAAGCAGTAAGCAATGTGTGGAAAGTGAGTGTGTTTGTGTTCATGTGTTTGTATCTGCTGTTTCCTGTTTAGATAGGTGGCTTTGATGCTCCACAAGTCTTTTCTGTAGTACAAAAAAAAAATCCCCATGTAATAACCACATTTCCTTTTACATAATGTTCTCAATATGAAATATTCTCTGGTGGTCCAGGAGTGGGGCAGTCCTTCAAGACTTAAATAGTCTTAAAAGCAAATCCTGCTTTTCAGGATTATCAAAATGCCCAAGTTACCCATTGAGAAATCTCACCTAGAAGTTTTGCTTGACACAGTAGTGCATATTTATAGAAAAATATCAATCTTATTTTACTCTAAATCTGTTCTATCATGTGATTATCATCTAGATAAGTGATTGGTGCATAACGAAATATGGGATAATCAACATAAGTGCAAATAAGCCAATCAGCAAGTGCATATGAGTGACATCTGATACAGAAGATAAGAAGGCCAAACTCAGCTCTTAACCTCTGTTAAAAAGCAATCAATCTAATTTTTCTGTAACTGTTTCCACTAACTGTCCCAAGATAAAAGTAACTTGAAACCAACAAAGTTCATTGACACATGAAAAGTGTTTGAACTGTCCTGACCAGGATAGCCC